TTTTTTTTTTTTTTTTTTGTGTGTGTGTGGCATATTTATGCTAATATATTGTCGCAAGAGCCAGTTTACAGAAAGTTTGTCTGATATTAAATAATTACTTGAATATGTGTTTTTATCAAGCATGCTAACTATGCTACAAGAAAGAGGCTGAAAAAATATTTTCAGATTATCTGTCTTGAAATTTTACTTTCTAAGTCTTTATGCAGCCCTTCAATTGATTTGCCAGTAAGTATTTTGATTCGTCCCTCTGGAAAAAAATGTTGCCCATTGCTGGCTTGGAGTATGTGTTTGGGATCATTATCAGCTACTACCACACCTCATTTTAGCTTAACAGTTGTGAAATTGACTGAGTCAAATTAGAGTTTTCTAAGGTCAATTAGCTCTGATGGTAATCTTGAGTTGACACCAAAAACTTGTAGACATATCCAATGATTACTTTCTAAAAGTTTCATTTAACACCTTCAAGTGGTTTATTACATATTTTTCTAACAGACATACATACAAACAACACACACGCACATAGGAAAAACCATTACTGCCTGGCTTTTAACCTTTTAGCTTTAGCCAGTAATCACTCTGTTCTCTGCTGTGCGTACCTTGGTATGTCAGTATCCATCGTCGCCACCCCGTAGCCAAACACAATGATTCCCACTATGGATGCCAGGATGAGCAGCTGAGTGTAAACACCAAGCCATGCAAAGTACAAGCCAATCTTCTCTCCAAAGTACTTCCTGTGTCAGTGAGAGACTGTGGTCATGACAAGAAGGCCAGTGAAGAGCTTGCACACTGTGTTACGTTTGATCTTTTGATTTTATGCAATGCTTGTGTGACATTAATGGCTAAATTTTGATCCACTGATGGAACAACTTCACATCAAACCTTTGAAATGTCACTTCAGAGATGACACACTTAAACCTTATTTCATGAACTGGTTTGGCCTTAATAAACTTGTATCGTCAGCAGACTGTTAGCTATAAAGCTCATGACTCTAATCAACAGATTAGTCGCCACCATTGACCGTATATCAAAATACAAGATGCCATATGAAGTCCTAGACGTTCAAGATGGGAATTATAGGTCCCGTCCCCTGCATGTTAACAAACAGGACATTACCCTTAGAAAATAAATACATAATTGTATATATAATTGACTCTTGTTAATTGATCTAGTTTTTTTCTTGCTGATATGTTCAGCCATTTTTTTTCCAAGATGTTTAGCTGTAATTAGTTTTTTTCTTGTTTCAGAATGAGGTCATGTAACAACATGAATATGTGTGGGGAAAGTAGACAGGGCTTAAAGACATGTACATAGTATGCAGACTCTGGTTCCAAAAATCCAACCTGGCAGCTCTTGTAAATTACATCTCGCTGGCTTCAATTCCCAACAACAAGAGAAGGTGGGGACAGTTGGTCGAACATTATAACCTACTGTGCCAACGGTGGTCACAAGGCAAAAAGTAAGTAAAATGAAGTGCTATGTGTTGTCATCAATGTATGTTCCCATACAATGACAAAATGAGTTATCTGTATTTAACCCATCACACCTGAGATTCTCCCAGGTGGAGCAGTGAGCAGCTATGTAAGCACCTGGGGTGCAGTTGGGGATTAGGTGTCTTGCTCAGGGACACCACAACATGTGGGCAAAGCGGGGAGTTGAACCGCGACTTTATGGTCCCAAGTCAATTGCCCTACCACTGCACCATCTCCGACCTCCAAAAAAACAACCACTTGTGGAAGATGCCCCGTACAAAAGAAGAATAAACTGAATTATTCATTGTGTAGTAAATGTTCTTTCATTTCTTTTCTCTTCTTTTCCTTAAACTTTTGGAAAGGTAAAAGCTGGTCATTGTGAACGTTGAACGATGATGTTGTTTGGTTTCACGATTTCCATTACTATTTGTTTTATGAATATCGTGATGATTATTTTTGCTGTTTGACAACAATAATTTTTATTTTCGTTTGACTTATTTTTTTCTATATGTCTGCTGTACAGCTACTGCAGCTAAATGTATTACTACTATCCACAACATATTTTTCTACTGGGGATAATAAAGGGTATCTTGATTGTATACCCCATCTCTTTCCACTTGATTGTTAAAGAGAGCAGGATAATGTAGGTGGTAAAAATGGACATACGTTTCCACAACTCTGTATGTGTTTGTGGTGATACACCATGTGTATCCCTATTCCCAATGTGGTTTTGGAGAACCAGGGGTCACAAATGAGGTTCAGTGTTGTAGTGCCAAAATACAACCAACCAAACCTAATGTGGCACTTCTTTAAGGAGGCTCAGTTGTCAAGAAAGGAAGTACAACTGTCTTCTTTTGTAGCACTTAGGATTAGCGAACACCTTCTCATTTTTCCACTGAACACTACCCAACAACAATCCAATTGCAAAGGGTTGTGGGATGGTGCTCACTGCGGTCACGTTACCTGACCAGGTCAATGGGCTGGTACTTGTAGAAGGCTGAGTATCTTGCCCACTCTTCATGCAGAACCTGACAGAACACACAAGCAGATAGAGAGAGGGATTCAAAGTCAGTGTGGGTGTATGTTATCATGTTGAAAGATGAAAATGCTTTTCAGAGGCACAGCTGATCTGGAGGCAGGCACTCTCTGATTGGTTGAAATAAATCTTCGAGGACAAAGCCTAGAGCTGTAGTTAAAGTAACTTTATCCTGAAGACAAGTGAAACACAGTAAGAGAGAAGAAGGAGCTCATTAAGAAGCCTAATAATACCAAGGTTTCTGGTTTACTTTGATCAGGGTTGGAGACTCTCCTTGGAGCAAGAAGTTGTTTTATACAGTTAAAACCAGATGTTTACATACAGTGCATTTAAAGAAACATAACCATTGTTCCCTGTCGATGAGCAAAAAGGGGGAATTGGAAATAGCCATATATATGTATATAAAAACCGGCCATGCCAATTATTTCAAGATAGGTATGGTTTTTAATTATTATATTGCTTACAAGTATGGTTTCCTCAAATGACTGAGGTGGCCGAAGATTAATCTATGGTGGCCAAGATCACCATTGGTCACCCCCTGGTTCCACCATTGCACCTGGGAGGCAGCAGCTCTACCAGTTACGCCACTGTGCTGTACTACTATATATATATAAATGTTCCGGAGCTCCTGATGCTCCGCCCCTGGGTTCTTATTGGTTCGATAACCGTAGCATCAGTCTGTCTGTTCTCTTGCTGTGCTCTTTTAGAGCGTTTATAGAGAGTATAAAACATGGCAAGAATGTGGGAAGGGTTTATAAAGCCTTAATGTATATATATACTAAAATAAATATAACAAACCTACTTTGCAGATTTTCACCTATCGCGGGGGTGTCTGAAACTTAACCCCCGTGATAAGTGAGGGACTACTGTATATATATTTTTAATGCTACAATCAAAAACAGCAATGTTTTAATTATTTTGCGATGTTACATTTTTTTGTCACATGCTTGCCTAAATACATAAAGATCATTAAAAATATGAACAATTTCCTTCTGCCTCTGTTTGTTCTATATTGACTCATCACAGTCAGTCATTTAATGAAGGATCGACCTTATAGACCACAAAATGAACAAAAACATCAAAATGGGAAAAAAAGGAATGTTGGGAGTTCATTCTATCTTTCATGAAAATACTGCAAAGCTAGTGTTTTGTTTTATTATTTTGCAGTTTTCATGTATTTATTATTATTTCCTTCCAGTCTGCAATCTGAAAATCTTTTCCTTTTTCTTGTTTCTTTGGAACTTGAGTCAACACATCATTGTTTTCTACCGTCAGAGCAGCTCTGCATCTGAGAAATGTTTACTGAACTTAAATGCCAATCTGTGCCCGTTTGAGACAGATGGGAAGACACAAGCGTGTGAGAAAAAGGCGAAAAATAAAACCATGAGACAAAAGTACTATTCTTCAGTAACTTGGATGGTCTTTTGCCTTTCAGATATTTGACGTTCATATGTGCAGTTTTGACTTCTTTTAGTAATTTCTGTATAAATCGTTGCACAAATCAAGTCAGATCACTTAAAAAAAACAATGTGGGACTGAACTTCAGTATTTTTTCACAACACAAATATAAAGAGAGGAGGACTAAAGCCAAAAATAATAAAATAAAAATCATTGAAAGGGGAGTGGGTGCACCTGTCTGTCGTTGCGCTCCTCAAGTTGTCCGGTGACCTTATAGTCACCCTAAAAACAGAAATTGAAAACCATGAGAACATATGCGATTACAGACATGAAACTAAACTCTTTGAAGAACATTTGGAAAACGCGTTTGTCTGCAGCACATTTAATTTTACAAACATCAGGGTTATCATGAAGGAACACTGTTCAAACAGACTTAAAACAAAGTCCAAAACTCACAAGTGCACAGCAAACAGCCATACTCAGACTTGTCAAACAGAACACCAATATACACTCATCAGACACTTTATTAAGTGCACATGCCTAGTACTGGGTTTGACCCTTAGCCTAATGATTAATGTCAAAAACTCAATATAATGTTGTAAATAGTCCTCTATGGTTCTGAACCATATAGACATGATGGCATCACTCAGATTAGTCAGCTTCACGTCTATGATGTGAGCCTTCTGTTGCACCACAACCCTAAGGTGCTCGAGGAGACCGAGATGAATCCAGACTCATCAGAGCAGGTGATGTTTTACCAATTTAATACGGTTCAATTTTGGTGAGTCTGTGAACTGTGTTTTCAGTTTCCTGTTCAGGAAGTGTCACTTGGTGTGGTCTTCTGTTGCTGTAGCTCATCTGCTTCGAGGTTGGACGTGGTGTGGTTTCAGATATGGTATTCTCCAAACCTTGGTTTGTAACAAGTGGTTATTTAAGTTATTGTCGCTTTCTAGTTGTATGACTTCTGACATTAACAAGGTTGTTTGTACACACACAAAAAAGTTGCACACCAGGTATTGTCTTTTTTTTTAACTGCTCTCTTTAAACCCTAGAGATGGTTGTATGTATAAAAAACAAAACAGTAGATCAACAGTTTGTGAAATACTCAGACTAACTCGTCTAGCACCAACAACCACATCACATTAAAAGCCACTTAAATTTCTGTTCTGGTGTCGGGTTTGAACTTCAGCAATTCGACTTCACCACGTCTACAAGCCTAAAGGCATAGAGTTGCTGCCGTCTGATTGGCTGATTTGTGGTAACATGCAATTGAACAAGTGGACCTAACAAAGAGGCTGGTGAGTGTAAATGAGATTCAAACCACACTTAAGACAGAAAATTATTAAAAAAACTTCAAATTGCATACCACCTTTTTATTAAACTTAACCTCTGTAAACAAGTAAATCCATCCATTCACCCATTTTCTTTACCCGTTTCTCCTTTCCAGGTCGTAGAGAGCTGGTGCCTATCTCCAGCTGTCACTGTGCGACAGGCAGGGGACACCCTGGACAGGCCGCAAGTCCATCACAGGGACACATAGAGATACACGATACAAACAATCATACACACTCGCACTCGCCTAGGGACAATTTAGAGTTACCAATTAGCCTAAAATGTATGTTTTTAGTCTGCTGGAGGAAACCTGGAGTACCTGGAGAATCCCACAGGTGCACACCAACGTGCAAACTCCACACAGAAAGGCCAGGAGGTGAATCTGCTACCTTTTTGCTGTGAGGCAACAGTGCTAACCACTTGGTGGTTGGTCCACCATTGGTCCACATGCAGACCTTGAAATGATTTGCAAGGAGCTCATGTGTCTAAAACTGACACCGGGGCTGTAAATGGTGGCATCACAAGTGGAGTAATAGTGTTATCAAGCCATTGCTCGAGTATCAGTCAGTTGCATGGTGGGTGAAGGTCATCAGACACAGATGATGCCTTGTGGAATGGATTATAGAGTTGTACCAGCATGTGACAGAGATTGAACGGGTTCGTCATAGTGAATTTGCATGAGCTCAGGTGGTCACATTGTGCATTTGTGAGGTGTGCAGATGTCACACTGAGCTGATGTTGAAACCAATGGACATGTGCAGTCACCCACAAAGGTATTGAAGGTTCTTGTCACCCAAAGCAGACCACACCAATGGAGGATTGTTGCATTGCACACAAAGCATTAATGAACTCCATGATATCTGTGCTTGTGAACCAGACCCAGGCAATGGACTCTTTATAACACCACATCACCCTGCATTGTGTTTTGGTGACTGGCATCAGCCATACTGCAACTTCACCAGGTTCATGCATAGGCTGACATTAACACCAGAGCAGAGACAACTGTATTTGGAGTTGATGTATAGGCTAATGATTGAGCGGTGGGGTATTGTGTTCAGCAATGAATTTCAGTTCCGCATTACCATGGCCGACTATTCTGTGCACATATGGTCGTACAGAGGGGAAAAGACTAGTGCTGCCACAGTTGTGGAAACTCATACACACTTCTCATGGCATTATGGTTTGTGTAAGCATAGATATGGATCAGGTCAACTCTTGTTATTTGCAGACACTGATGGTACAATGCTACGTAAGGGATATCCTGCATCTGTCTGTAATCCTGAGAAAAAACCCTGGTACTGTCTTTAGACATGCAGTTTAACCCTACATCCAGAAAACATCAGAATGTTTTCCCAAATGCAAAAAAAAAAAAAACAGTGTAACGCTCATTTATTTGGTCCTATGTATTTATATACACACACAAGCCTACAGAGAAGCAAATTTACATGTAACAACTTTTTAGGTCATTTATGCAACCCATATTATTCCAGCTGGCGATACTGTGAACCATTTCATAATATAAGCACCAAGAAGTTATTCTGGCAAATATAACCCAAAGTCTGGTTTTACAAAAGCCAAGCAGAAACGAGGATCAAGCACATAAAACTGTCATTTGTTCTCAAAATATCAAAATGCTCCTTTAATAGCCTTGAATTACAGTGTATCACATTACAATAAACTGCTGTATCATTGGACTGTCAAACCACACACTTACATCATGAAGAGGGAAGGCTGCATCATACACCCCTTTGGCTATCAATGTGCTAATGCCTGGAGAAAAAACAGGTAGAGCAGAGTCATAAACGAGTATATATTACAAACATATTTACATGTACTGTAGCCTCTAGAGGACATCTTCTTTTTGACTGCTCAGACTGAGTTTGAACGGTTTTGCAGATTGAAACAAACTGGGACTCAAGGGGTAAGTCTCTTGTTTTGGGAATATGTCATGCATGAAGTGACGGTGAAGTCAGGACATCAGATGACTCAACAAATAAAACCTTATCAACATTATTCCCTAAAAGGGGACAGGGAATTATTGAATCATTAGTTGAGCTATTATTGAAGCGCACACATACTGTACACTGAAACACGTAACTACACTCTCAACCAGCCAGAAACAACCACAACTCCCATAGGCCTTTGCTTCAATTTCAGTCTGACCCAGGAAGTATGACCCACTTGTGGAGGACAAGTAGCAGAAAAACAGTATGTGTGTGTGTATGTGTGTGTGGTGGTGGGGGGGAGGGGGGTGTTGAAGGGAAAAGGGTTAAACTCTCTATTTTCTCTGCCCTTCTTCCTCTGCAATGCCGTCAGTACCCGCCGGCTAAGACCATCTGTTGAGAAGGGTCAGCCAACCAAACATATGGTGGACACCGGAAATAAAAATGGGTGTCAGCTCGTCTCTAATGTGGGTCTCACAACTACAAAAGTTTGTGATACAGTTGTGATCAGACGTTTACATACCCACATCACGGGTTTGAACGTCATAATAACTGGGGTGTCTAATTATTTGTTTTAACCATGTTTTCTGGGTGGAATGATTATACAAAATACAACTTCAAGCATTTTTAATAACGAGCATTAGGCACACAAGTTTGGATTTATTGTGGATTTTCTCCACATAGGGTCAATATTATACATACTGGCTCAAATATATATAATTCACCTAAATCTTGAATTTGGTGGACAAAAAGGTTTTAGAAAGTTCTTTAACTTGTTCAGGATCATCCAAGGAACCACCAAGGTTAAAGCCTTCCATGAACTGGAAACTGCTGGAACACCAGTTCACAGTAAAGCAATTTTTAACTCCCTCCTGGACTGAAAGAACGTCAACCAAGAAAGAAGCCCCAGCTTGAAAAGCTCCACTTAGACCAAAATTTGCAGCTGCCCGCATGGACAATCCAAACAGCTTCTGGATAAAAGTTTTATGACAAAGGCAAAGATTAAATTATTTGACATCGTTGACAAGAAGCATGTGTAAAAAAGTCGAGATTAGGTTCTCAAAGAACACTGTACCAAATGTCAAGCATGGTGGTGATAGCATCATACTGTAGTCAAGGTGCATTGCACAGTGGATGGAATAATAAAAAAAGGACAACCTCCATCTTCTTCAGCTTCACCCTAAAACAACCATTTGAAACTTGAACACATGGGTGTTCCAACAAGCCAGTAATCACAAACACACATCAAAACTGGTTTCTAAATGAATAAAGCAGGATGATGTTGAGATTCAGGAATAGCTTTCTTAAAAGTCCTGACCTCAGTTCTGTTGAAAATGTGAGGACTATGCTAAAATAACGTGGACTGACCAGAAAAAACAACCAGTTCATCTAACGTAACTAACAGAGCACTTCACTCTCAGACTGCAGGTTTACTTGTAGTTCCTAGAGTTCCCAAAAGCAAAATGGGAGGCAGAACCAACTGGAACCAACTTCCAGTTTCTGTCCATGAAGCTGACACCTTGTCTACTTTTAAAATTAGGCTTAAGTCTTTCATTTTTGATAAATCCTATAGTTAGGGTTGGCTTGGTTTCCTGAGCTATCTGTTGGTTAACTGCTATAGGCTTAGACTACAGGAGGACAAGACCACATTTCCTCAAATGAATGATTACAAACGAATACAAATGAATGATCTTTATTTGTAATTAGTTCTATCTCAACATGTGTTTCTTTGTCTTTCCTCCTATAGAAAGACCTGCTCGCCTCCATTCTGGACCTGCCATTCAGTGTCTGTTCTTCCTTGCAGTCCTCTTAAACTCCAGTTGGTTGAAGCAAATGGCCACTTGTCCTGAACATGGTTTTGCTGGAGATTTCTTTCTGTTAAAAGGGAAATTTTCCTTCCCACTCTTGCCTTTGTGCTTGCTCAGGATGGGAGACTGTGGCGAAATGAAGATTCAGTGCAATCTGGCTTCTTTAGATAGAGAGCTTTTACTAACTGGCTTTTTATGTATATGTATTTTTCTGTACACTACCCTGAGACAACTGCTGTTGTGACCTGGCTCTCTATGAATAAACTGAATTGAATTGAACTGAACTATACCAATTCAGCTAAGTTAATGGCTACAAAATGCCTGTGGTTGAGGTGCAACTTGCTTGGGAACGTTTAACCAAATGTTGGACAAAATTTATACTAATATTTGTGCTTGTATGTATACTTTAGATCCTGTATGGAACAGAAAAAACCCTAAATAAATTCAAATTTTTGCATGCAATTCCTGTTTTTCAAAATCCTTAAAGTTGAATGTTTTACAATCATTCCATCCTGGAGAAAGAATGATACAAATAAATCATTGAATGCACACACAATGTGCTCTTCTTGTTTTGGCTCTTTTGGTGTGTCAGACAGCGCTGCCTTCTCAGGCGACTTTTGCTTACACCAGTCCCACACAGCTGAAACTGCTGCTGAAGAAATCCTACACTTTTAATTGCTCATTGCCCCTGAGGACTTCCAAGGTAGAGAGAACTGATAATGAGCAGAGCTGTCTTTCTGAGAACAGCCTATCCGAACCACGGCGTAGCTACATAGCAACAGTTCCACAGAAATAATTGTAAAAAAGGAGTTGATAGCATCCATTTTTGGCATTCTTTGACTCAGAGCTATGTTTACCTGACACCATCAGACATTTCATATTGGCTTCTACTTTTAAACATTTAATGCTATTTATAGTAAGAAGTTAAACCTCCATAGTAGGAGTAGAACACAATTTGCTTCAATGGTCTCTTTTGGTTTAATTTTGCAGCCTTAATGTTCACTCTTAAGTGGTCAGTGGCACAGTTTATCTGCTAAAAGGATTAAAGGGCCTTGACTTTAAGCTGGTGCCAATAAAAAGCCTGGTTTTAGAGCTGTAACACCACTTTTAAAACACATCTTCACTGTCTTTTATTCAAGAAACCTTGGGGAAACTTAAAAACATGATATACTTTAAGCGATCAAGGTAACCATAAAAGAAGAGAAGTGCCACAGCAGTTTGAGTTGCTTCAAACCAATCGAGAATTTTATTTTGAGCACCATTAAAAGAAACAATGCAACATGAGGTAACACCACTAGCTTCTCCAGGTTTTGCATGTCCTTTAAGAGAACAAATAACATAAATGAATCAATCTAATGAGAAAAATCTTTGACCCAATCACACCTGGTATCTATATCCATCCTTAGCTATCAGGTTGCATTTGGATCGTTGCTAAATACAAGACCGAATGGCACAGGCATATATGTGAGGGGAATGTGTACCCCCACATTTCAAAAATATTCATTTGGACACTCACCCCCCCACCCACTCCCCACCCACACATACATTTACCATGAAATATTAGTTTGTTCAGTGCTGTTTCTATTTCTTTGTGAACTAATCCATTCCACTTGATTAATAGGAGAATACTCAAACCACTAAAAGTCCATTCCAGGTTTTCCTGGTTACAACAACTCATCACACTGCATGCGGTGTTACCTCGAGGTCACTTGCCTTGGCAGGACGCTCATATCTGAGGGTTTTTTTGTTGTTGTTGTTGACAAGGCAGGGGGAGGTGGGGGTACACCTCTGTGTTGCACGCTAGCTTAGCGTTACATTAGTTAGTGCTGGCAGTTGTTTCCCTGCGGGGGGGAGTTAGGATGCGAGAGAGAGAAGCAGAGTGCTACATCTGTAGCATCGTAGCTAGCGCCTCAGTATTGCTCACCGCTAGCTTAGCGCTACATTAGTGCCAGCGGGGGGATGCTGTTTGTCAAGCTACTCTAAAATAGTTATTGAATCAAGTGTTTACTTATGTAGGCTAGAATACCTCTAATGGTGTTTTAAGGGAAAATGTTAGCAATGTGCTTTGAGGCCATTCAGCATTGGCGTCAGAAGCATTTGTAATGTAGGGTGTAAATACTGGTGGGAGTGTCTGGGGGTCCTCCCTCAGAAAATTTTGAGTAGCGTAGATGCCATTTCCTGCATTCTGGTGTATTGTAACAAGTTGTTAAACATCTACATTTACCTACATAAGTAAAGACTAGGAAAGCTTAGCGCTACGTTAGTGCTGCCAGTGGTTGATATGGGTGCTGTTGGTCAAGTTACTCTAAAATAGGTATTGAATCAAGTGTTCACTGATGTAGTTAAACATGAACATAAACAATGCTTCTGACACCAATGCTGAATGGCCTCAAAGCACATTGCTAACATTTTCCCTTAAAACACCATTAGAGGTATTCTAGACCAGTGGTTCCCAGTCCTCCTCCTTGAGGAACACTATCCTGCATGCTTTAGTTTTTTCCCTGCTCCAACGCACCTGATTCAGAGTTTTAATTACTTACTCAAGTGCCGTAGAAGCCTGTTAATCACTGATTCACTCAAATCAGATGTGTCAAAGCAGGGAAACAACTAAAACATGTAGGATAGCGTTCCTTGAGGACCAGGGTTGGAAACCACTGTCCTAGGCCCTTTTATCCATATGTTTTCCAGCCTAAACTGCAATCCATTCTAAACCTTTGATGTAGGACTTCCTCTTGAACTTTTGTGACCCTATGCAAGCAGCAGAGTTTGAAATACACATTTTAGTGTCAGGTATGAACATATAAAATCTGAGCTGACTACTTGCAATCAAATGACATAAGATGGATAATTAATGGCAGGTTTTAGCCTTTAAGATAGGATTCTGGTGGTTTCCTTACCAATAGTTTGACAGGTACGCACACAAACTGTTCGTCTCAGGATTTCATACACCTGTGGAATATTTGAGATAGTTAGGCTAGGAAAATAAAATAAATACAAAACGGTCACAGGAAGAAGTCATAAATCAGTTCAGAAACAAATACTTACTATTCTGCCTCTTGTGGCATTGTCAAAAAATGTATCCTTAGATGCAATGTTGTAGCTGAAATAAACCAAACCAAATAATTACTGTGCTAATAACAAACATAAGTAGGTCATCTGAAATCACAAAAAACTCAACATTTGGAAACAGTTTACTTACAAAACTAGCAAAATCCCTCCATATCTTAGATCTCTATTCAGTCGTCACAACTTACAGACCGGCAACTTTACTACCAAGACTATTCAGTTGGCATTTCTTTTATCTACCATATTCCTTGTTCCAGTTCGCTGTCCCCAACAATTGGTATGAGCCTATATCTTGTTATCAACTTTTCTTAACAATTACAACGTATTTTGACAAGTGCACCTCCTTCTGATTGCTTCCTGGATGTCCTCTGTATGTAATACACTGTATGTATTGTGTGGAAATTGGTTCTCAAATGATTTAATGATTATTTAAATGTTAAATAAAATTAAAATAAAAAAAAAGGGTTAGTATGGTGGGGGCAAGCTGGGTGGCATAGTGATGCAATAAACTGATGAATGGATGTGTGTTAGTGTGTATCTTACAGGTGAAGCTTGTCCCTGGAGAAGCAGTGGGAAACAAATTTGGTGCTTCCATGGTCCTGATGAGACACTTTGGGCTGGAACGGCTGGTTCAGTTTCCTCCACATTGTGCTCATACTAGACCCAAAACCCTTTTCTTCTTTGAGTTCATAACTCTGCAACAAACAGTGACACAAACCCAGTGATGTTATTTCATCCATGAGACATCTACATCAACAGACTTTACAGTTCTGAAAACAAGAGACTCAGAGCAGAACTATGGAATTACAATAATACATTATTTAGTGTAGAAATCTGTTGCTGAGTGAGTCATGTGCAAAAGGACACCCAGAAGACCTTTGCTCTCTATGTTTTTTCTTGTCAACCATTGTTAGGTTTTGATGGTTTCAATTACACAGTTTTCTTTAAAAATATATATAAAAAAAATAAAATAAAAGAACTCAATGACAAAAAACAGTGAGATCTCACCGTCTTAGTGGGGACTTTAATCTTGAGGAACTCGGCCTCTCTGCACAACACAGGCCAAGGTGCATGGACTCGAGTAAAGCTGGGACCATGGGTCTTCACCTGCAAATTAAACGAGAAAACCGTGAAACATGAGAAAGACATTTTGAGAGGTGCCAGTGCACTTTGCAAAAACCATAAAAGATGTGAAAATGTCATTTTAGTCATGTGAAAGCCTGTTATGGCTCTTGGTAACGTTAGTTTTGTCCTCCATTGTGCTGCAAAGAAGGGGGGAGGTGGAAATGCTCTCTGTCCATCTGTTCGTCAGTCCGTGTTGTGATAACTTGGAAAAATAAGCGAGGTACCAACTTCCATTCTTTGTGTTGCTACATCTAGGCAAAAGAAAGATTCTTCTAGAAAATGGGGTTGTCATGTCAAAATACAAAATGGCTGCCACCATAAATGCCCATCCGTCTTGTGAGCTGGATAATTTGAAAATAAGAGACTTACATTTCGGGATGTGGCTACATCTAGGCATAAGAATGCTCACTATCGAAACTCGTCACATGAAAATCCAATCCACTGCCACGTGTATTTGTAAACCATCCACCCCTATCGTTTGAGGAAACTATGCTTTCTCGTTTTTACATCGTTTACAAGTATAGTTTCTCAAATGATTGGGGTGGCTGAAGATTAATCTATGAAGGCCAAGACCACCATTGGCCACCCCCTGGCTCCGCTACATTGCCTGATTGTGGATCAGATTGCTCTCTTTGCTCGACAGGGTCTGTCACTCTGCGCTGCCTCAAACAAGACAAAAAATAATCAAATAAAATACCTCTAATCTTATACACAGTGTAACATCCACCTACTTGAACATGCTGACCCAAAACCATTAAGGTTTACTTGCATTCCCTGGTCATTTCCAGTCCAGAAAAACACTCTTCTCTAAAACTACAAACATTCACTATTTAAATCTCTCAGCGGCAGGGTACCACAGTGGCGTACCACTTGTGTTACTTGATATGGTTTCTGATTTGTGGGTTATTTGTACATCTAAGTCTTGCAGTTGTTTATAGTGAGATAAGTTTGTCCTTGTGTTTTAGTCTGTGTTTCTGAGCCCTAATTGGGAGTCAGTTTTACACAACTTTGTTCCATCTGATCAGCTCACCTGTCTCTAATCACACATCCCGGTTCACCTACGCTCTTTGGTTTCCACTTAGGCCTCAGTTTGTCTCTTCATTTAATAAAAGACTTCTGGAGTCATCCTGCTTGCCTGTTTTGAAAAATTACCAGCACTTTTAGATTCTGTTTCAAAGACTGAGTCCTGATACTAGTTTTACTCAGAACAAGTGCAAGCACTTCAGTTAGGGGACTTACCAATACAAACTCTGTATTGGTATTGGTACTTACCAATACAGAGTACTTAATGAGTTGGTACTTAAATATTACACAATGACTTTAGAAACACATTTATTTTATTAAGAACATTACACATAGTCTGCTGTCTCAATTTCACCGGTGTTTGTCTTAAAATATTCAAATTTAATTTTTTTTATCCTGTTATTTGTAACTTGAGAGAGGAAATTATGTCACCAAGAATAAAAGTATTATCAGTCCAAAGTATCAGAGTGTTTTTATGAGTACAAGTACTTGAGGCTGATATTGAGATATCACTATTTGTGACCCATTAAATTCTTGAATGACAGCAACTTTAAAGCATGTCTGAGTTCTAGAGCTCCAGAGTTGGCAGCATTGTGCAGGGGGTATCTATATTGTATAGCCCTAATTTGTTTCTTCTTTTCTTTTATGTACTTTATATTTTTGCTATTTTTAAGTGTAAGTGGGACCTTGAGTACACAATTTTATTACACCTCATGTACCACCGAGATGGGGTAGAGGTAGGGCAGCCGACTCGGGACCCGGAAGTCCCAGGTTCGATCCCCAACCATTCCCACATGTTGTGGTGTTTCTGAGCAAGATACCTAATCCCCAATTGCTCCCCGAGCACCTACATAGCTGCCCACTGCTCCACCTGGGTGTATTCCAGGTACGAAGAGTTAAATGCAGAGAACCAATTTCGCCATTGTATGGCAACATACAATGATGACAACCCATAGCACTTTACTTTACATGTGATGCAAATGACAATAAAGAACTTTGTCATTTTCTTGAGTTCACTGATTCATGACAAGAAGAACATGTTGAAGTCAAAGACGGAAGTGATCTTAGAAAGTCTACCAGTGTTAAAAAAGCTCCTTATTTGTGAAGGAAAGGTCTGTTCAAGAGTGCAATGTTGTGTCCTACTTTTGCCTTTCAGATACCAAAAAGCCTTGGAAACAATGAAACATATCCTTTCAATAAATCTCCCAGCAGTCAAACCATTGTTTTTTATTTATCAAGTATAGTAAAATACCCACATCATTACTTAACATTGTACAGACACACTGTTGTTGATCAAGCCACATGTAACCCATCATGAAAGTTCATTCAACCTTTATTTAGACAGTAGTTGTTTAAAATAAATAACTGCCAAACAGTAATACGGGGGATTAAAAGTTCATGCATCGGCACTCTAAAATATAGTTTAAACCATTTACATATTGCTACAAAGTTCATGCTCTGCTCAAAACTTTTAAGAAATGAAAAAAAGTATCTAGTTATACAAGAACAGAAAATACTGGTTTGATTTATCACAAATAATTATTTAGAAAAATGTGTGTTTGTGAAAAATATGACCATCATGCTTTGCTGGAATTACCATATTTTTTGGTCTATATGTCGTTTTTTTTTGCATCATTTCCATGCCCTGCAACGTATATGCCAAAGTGCCGTATTTATGGATTTTTTTTCCCATTTTTAAAAACCAATTTTTGGCTGAGATATGACCGTTTGCATTAATTTTGACTGAAAATATTGAACACTACCATTTTCAGCAACTAGAGGGCACTCGAATATTGTGGCATGCCATTGTGTCAAGAAATAGGTAAAAGTGGCTATTAATGACATAATCGGCTTGCCATAGCCCACCACTTTCATCCAGCTCGCCTGGAGCAACCGTCAAATCAGCTAAATTTCGCTGCTCCGCCCCAGCAAAATGCAGCTAATCTGACCATTGAAGTGCACTTATTAAGTAAAAGTTAGACTGAGACACACCTTTCCTATAATGTTGAGTACACAAATAATTGTTTTTAGGTGGTTATCTTGTTTACTTTCAAAAAAATGCGCAGTGAATCGCCCTCTGCGCGTTCCTGTTTTAGCATATCGGCTTTTGAAATGTAGCTGATTTGACCGTCAAAGTGCATTTATTAAGGAAAGTTAAACTGAGATACATCTTTGTTATAATTTTGAGAAAACAAATAATTGTTTTTAAGTGTTAATCTTGTTAAATTTTTGTTAAAGTCCTCCCGTGCACGCTCCTGCGGCCGTCATTTGGCAGCCAATCGATTTTTGGCACAACACCGGCCCACATTTCCGGGTTGTCAGCGGTGACGCGTAACAAATGTGACGCGTCAGTGGTCACGCATAATAGATGCAACGTATACGTAGGTCTGTCACGATTTTAAAAAAATTGCTGGGTGATTGTCTCAGAAAATTTGCGATAAACGATAATATTGTTTGAAATTTGAAAATAATTAGTAATTGTCAAATTTAAGAAAAATGTTGTTTAATTTGTGTGTAGTACTTTTTTTGACCACTGGATGGCAGTATAAGACTGTAAACAAAAGGATGGATAGTGAGGGAGTGAGCAGCGTGTCTCTTTAAGAAAAATGGGAGGGAGTCCCCTTGACGTGACATGGGCTGTCTCTACTTCCTGTTTTTCGGTTCTCAAAATGGCAGACACTCAGTGTGGTTTGAGCTCTTTAGCATAGCATTTTTCACGCAAAGCTTTTAATAAAAAAAAATCAGTAAACAAGTTCTCCGCTTCTTTTTGCAGAGAAAAATAACTTTTTCAACAAAGGCATGGGTTTCAACCGTGAATTTTGGAGCTTCGACAAGACTGAGGTTTTTTCCCCGAGGTCGGCCTGTTAGCTTAGCTCATAGCTTATCTTCGCAGCTTAGCTGCTTTTAATGATCCAAAAAAGTGATTTTGAAAGGGAGGGGTCAGTGACGAGCACCGGAGTTGAGCCTTTTGTCATCCAGTGTCTTCAATATAAAGAGAGAGACACGAAGAAACGATAAAGCCGGTAAATGAAAACAAGGTCGATAATTTTGATTTATCATGCGATTAATTGATTTATTGTTCATCATGACAGGTCTAGGTATATGGCGAAGTGACGTATTTATGGATTTTTCCACTTTATTAGACATATTCAGACTGATGCGACATATAGGGCGGTGCGACGTGTACGGCAGAAAATACAGTATGTGGTGTTTAAAAATGACTGAACAGACCATCTGTCAGGTCGCCTTTGCCATCCAAAATAGCAGACTTTGTTTGAGCGAGAGAGACCTAAATACACACCACGCCTGTTTTTACACCGTGCCGTCTCTGCTGATTTAGCTCCCAGAGCTCGTGTTTGATCTCTAGAGGTCCATCTCGACTTTTAAAACCTGCGCTGTAAGAATCCAAGCAACACCTAAAACATGAGCGAGGGACGGCCAATCCTTGCCGTTGCGCTGTCCCCCTCAAACACGGCGAAGCGGTTCCTCCGTTAACTTTGCTCCATGAAAGATAGATGTGGCGTCTGTTGGTAAAGCCTGGAGCTGTTGCTGCCGCAGCCGGCTCCTAACACATTTTAATTTGTGCCATGATAAAAACCAAACACGCTTCTAACACTGGCATAATGGTGCGGTGCCCACACAGTCATTTTAAGACGCATTAGCAAAATGTGACGACTTCAGATGTGACCAAGAGGAACGTGACTAGATGCTAAACATCAATCCAGCTGAATATAAATTTAAAAAACTTTAAATTATATATATATATTTTAAAACTTGGTATGTTTGTTGAATTAAGAACTAAAAGTTCATTTCCAGCCTTCACTGAGCTGAAAGACAGAGTCGGTGGGGGGCAACAGCCAGGTAACGTTACCCTTCTCAGACCCCCCCATCAGCTCCTGTAAGTGAGGGGAGTGAAAAGATAAAGGTGGCCTTGCCAACAATGGTAACCTAAAACCATT